TCTCTCTCTCTCTCTCTCTCTCTCTCTCTCTCTCTCTCTCTCTCTCTCTGAATAAATGCTGTGTTCTACTGCAGAGAGTAAAGATTCGGGAGTACCTCATGCTCGCACTCCCTCCCGAACTGTGACAGCCACAGCAGATGGTGACCCAAACTGTGACAGCCACAGCAGCTAGGTGACCTAATCTAGAGCTTATCAACGAACACGTCACGCCGCGCGAGCCGTGACGTCATCGATGACGTCATCGGCGACACCGATCGCGATGCGCAACAATTCGTATTCGATGGGCGACGCGACGCCAGTGGGCGCCACGGTCGTCGTCGGCGTGTTCGTGCTGCTGGTGGCGCTCTCTGGCGTCGTCGCTAACACGTGCGTTCTTATCTCGTTCATCGCCGACAAGAAGCTGCGCAAGGTGCATCACGTGTACACCGCCAACCAATCAGCGGCCGAGCTGGCGCTGTCGCTGCTCGTCACGCCTCTAGCCTTCCTGCTGCCGACGTGCACGGGCGGATGGATACAACCGGAAGCGTTGTGCACCGGCTGGCTGTGCGTCGCCGCGACGGTGCTGCTAGCTTCGCACCTGGCGTTCGTGCTCGTGTCACGTGACCGCTGTCTTACGGCGTTCTATCACACGGACGCGCAGCGCGACAAGGAGGCGCTGCGTAAAGTGCTGCGCTACGTCGGCGCCACCTGGTTGCTGTCGGCCGCACTAATCACGTCGTTCGTCGTCGCGTGGCACCATCTGGCAGTCGTCGAGCTGCCGCGCGTCACCTGTCGGCCAGAGTTTCTCGGCGACGCTGCGTTCATGTACGTCGTGACGCTGACGGAGGCCGGCGTCGTCGGCGCAGCCGTGACGCACTACACGCGACGCACGTTCCAGAACGTCGTCGCGCGCCAGAAGACGTTCGCCGACTCGAACATCAGTGACGACGCAGATCGCTGGCTGACACGTGACAAGACGATGACGAAGGCGCTCGTCGTCGGCGCGTCGTGCCTCGGCGCGCTGTGGCTCCCCCTACTGGTCATGATGCTCATCAGCCCGCTGTGCGGCGACTGCGTGCCGCCGCTCGCCTACCTGCTCGCGCTGTCGCTATACAACGTCCGCTCGACGGTGGCGCCACTGTGCTTCGCGCGCGAGGACGAGCGACTGAAGCTGAACGTGAAGAAATTGCTCTGCTTCTGGCGACGCAGCGAGGTCGCACCTCTCCTCCAGGTGGCGCCATGAGCTGTCAGCGGACATCTTTACCGATAGGTGGCGCCACGGGGCAGCGAACATTATTTGTAGCGCGGTTAGTCAATTACTGTATCTATATATATATATATCAGAAATATACATCTATATATATAAATAATATATATATATGTATATACTTCGCTGGTAGTGCAGTAGTACCAGACTAATATCACTGCAGGCAACTTGTTTCTTTTACTTTTTATTGCGATGGATTATATCAGGAGCTAATAATGAATTTGTCATTATTAGCTCCTGATTATATGACGACTATCGTTGAGTAAAGCCTTACATTGAACTAGAGATATACGGGGTTCCCGGCCGTTACCTCGAATTTTTTCCTAGAGCAAATTATTTGTTTTGATATCAGCGTACAAGGGAAGAAATACACTAATAACTGCAGTAATTCTACAAAAATTAAATAAATATATATTATGTAATCAAACGGCTTCGAATTACAATTAGTTTTAGCAACAAGAAAGGAAAACTGACCAGTACATGAAATGCACACAGTTATTGTTTGCTTGAGTAATGAGCATATAAGTCCTGACGTTTGTAAACAACAAGTAGGCCTACGGTGACCTATAGCTATACAACCACTGATCTCTATATTATACTAAGTTATTAGATATATTCTAATATATATATTAATTATATATATTATTCAGCGGAGCTAATAACTGACAAATTGTCATTCATTAGCTCCTGATATTATATTCAAAGAGCTAGCCATTAAATAGATTTATCATCTCTATCTATATATAATCTCTATTATGTAAGCTCTTGATATAATATATAGTATATATATTATATATATATATATATCATTATTAGTATATAGAGATCAGTGGCTACGACCAGAGCATATAAATCACCTGTTGAATATAAATCACCTGTTGATTTATATGCTCTGCTACGACCAAAACCACCGGTTTGCGCTCGTACCATAGTTCAAGCAATTTGCTTGCTTTCTGGTGGAGGTTGAAGGTCTATATCTAAGTTAAGTAAATATCGGTTAATATTTCTCCAAAAAAATTTCTTAAAATTAAAATCCGTCATCTAATGCGATTCAATATGTTCAATTTTTTAGAATCAAACAAGGAGACGCGGCCAGGTGGCGCTGCCCCCGCGGTCAAGCAGGAAGAAAAGACGGCGGAAATGGAGCTGACAGACTTTATGAACCAGCTGGAGGATTACACGCCGACTGTACGTCCCCCTCAGCGAACTTCTTACGTATCTCTTAACATCCCACACACCGAGTAACCGTCTAGGGGGAAAATGTTCGAATATTACCCCCTAGGAAAAAATGTTCGAATTTTACCCCCTGGGAAAAATGTTCGAATATCACTCCCTGGGAAAAATGGCGGGTGTCGGTGTCGTCCTAGCTAATCTCAAATCGGCAGCATAGCGCATATAATAATATGTGAGTACTATACCGCGAGCCGTAGCGCGTGTGCTTGTACTAGCTCTACCGTATGACCCTAGATGGGAAAGCTGCCGCATGCAGGCCTGTGGCCCGTGGAAAGATTTCCTGGTCAGTACGGTATATGGAGCTATAGCCAGCCCGTGCAAGATCCTGCTGCTGTAATCTGCACCACTGATCTGTATAATTATATACTAACGTAGTAATAATATACTAACTCTATAAACTATTTACTAACTAAGTTAGTGTATAGAGATCAGTGGTTTGCATCGTACCAGCCGGGATTACAGCTTTACGTTGTAATCGCACATCACTGATGAACCGCTTTGACCAGCCGAGAGAGAGAGAGAGAAAGAAAGAGAGGGATCCATAACGCTGACCTAAAAGCACATTGTCCGCGTGCCGGAGCGGTGATTCTAATCGAACGTCTTCCCCCTCCCCCGCCCCCGTCTCTCTCTCTCTCTCTCTATGTGAGTGTGTCGCTGTCTCTAAGTATTTCCGCGTGTGCGCCACGCAGTCATCTGCGTGGTCGACTCTGCGCATGCGCTGGTTCCTGTGGCTTCACCTGAGTGCCAAGACGGTGGTGCGCGTGCGTGCGTTTTTGAGCAAGAGCTGCATTATCAAATATATGTCTGTATCACTTATCTCTATATACTAACTAGTTATAGAGATTTAGTTAGTATAAATACTATATATATACTGTAATATATATACTATATATATATACTATAATATATATATACATATATATATATATTAAGTTAGTATGTAGAGTTAAGTGGTCTATATACACTCTCATGGCCGGGAGAGCCGTGGCTCGTTCGGCCATGTGCGACCACCCAGGGAGCTCCTCTTGTGATGCTGTCGAAATATATTTTGCAGATTCCTGATGCTGTTACAGGCTACTATTTGAACAAAGCTGGTTTCGAGACAGTGGATCCCAGAATGTAAGCAGACGGACCTGTGGACACACGGTGGCTTTTTCCTATCGCCCTCGCCAGCCAACCGAGTGCATATCCGTCCGTTTAGTACCTAGAACCCATGCGAGTGTGGTATTTTATTCTGTGTCTATATACATCAAATTGACGTTTGCTACTGATGTTTGCTAGATTCCCGTTGACCCTCCATTTGTCTTCTACATGAAAGAAAATCCGGTTGTGACTTAACTGTTTGAGACGGTAATGGTCTCATTCAACCAAGGAATGGCTGGACATTAACGGGGTGTTTTCATGGTTACCGCCCACCCTGAGGCAACGACTCGCCAACTATGTCCAAACACGGCTAAGAGCAGAGGGAATTAGGCGAATAGTAGCTCTTACGTGTGAACAGAAACAGTTCGCTAGTAGCCATGTCCATATCATATATTTGCTGAATCGAACATTCGTGGCGTCTGTGCCCTGGGCGAGATACGTAGGGCACGTGCTTGCATTTCCCGGGCTTTTACTAACCTTTTATTGACCAATGGTACGTCAAACCCCTACTCGGAGAACATTGTCCGCTTTCTCACGGAGTATTTCCTATGCTTAGATCTTCGTCCCGGTTCAGTATAATGTAATTATCGCGTGATATCTGATGGAATATTATCTTATATTCACACAGGTAGGGGCGGACTAGGTCGCAGTAACAGCATTCATCGGTTTCAAATGGCTATTGCGCACTTCGTGATAAGATGCTAACAACTTTTTATCGCGCATTTCCTAATGGTTTCATTCGTTTCTCTTGAATAGGGTTAGGGTTAAAATTGCTCATATATTAAAAGCCGTGAAAACCTCCGAAATGATCATATTCAACGTGTCGTAATCTTTCCTGAGAGCAATGTCCTTGCACCTCCTTTGGGGGTTAATACTTCATTTATACGCTTGAGTTCGGCGCTGAGTACTGCGAGTATGATGGGGGAACATTTATGAATAGTCGTATTTTGTTCCCCCTCCCCTCCCCAAATGCTGCTGAATCGTACCCGTCCCCAATGTAAGCACGCGTACACGCATAACGCGCACGCACAGGCACGCGTGCACGGGTACACGTACATGCACGCGCACTCGAATACGCGCTTGCGTATACGCGCTCGCGCGCGCGCACACACGTACACGCACAAGCATGCACGCACAGATACACGTGCACATTTACGCAAGCACAGATACACGTGCACACACGTGCACACTTACGCAAGCACAGATACACGTATACACACATACGCACCCACAGATACACGTGCACACTTACGCAAGCACAGATACACGTGCACACTTACGCAATCACAGATACACGCGCACACTTACGCAAGCGCATATACACGTGTACACTTACGCAAGCACAGATACACGTGCACACTTACGCAATCACAGATACACGCGCACACTTACGCAAGCGCATATACACGTGTACACTTACGCAAGCACAGATACACGTGCACACTTACGCAATCACAGATACACGCGCACACTTACGCAAGCGCATATACACGTGTACACTTACGCAAGCACAGATACACGTGCACACTTACGCAATCACAGATACACGCGCACACTTACGCAAGCGCATATACACGTGTACACTTACGCAAGCACAGATACACGTGCACAATTACGCAAGCACATGTACACGTGTACACTTACGCAAGCACAGATACACGTGCACACTTACGCAATCACAGATACACGCGCACACTTACGCAAGCGCATATACACGTGTACACTTACGCAAGCACAGATACACGTG